TTGACAACTTTAAAAGTGGGTCAAAACAAGAATTAAATTTTAAATATACTTGGTTCTTTACATGGTATGACACTATATTCATCTAAAAGAAGCTAAAGCAGCAATGGAGATTTTTAATAAAGATAGGATTTGAAAATTCATAAACCAACTATTACAAGTACTTCTAGAACTGGATGTTCGAAAATTCATAATGCAGTATTTATGTTCTTCTAATAACACTTCACTTATCAATGAATAGAAAATAAACTTGATTAAAGCTTTTTTATTATATTGTTTTCTTGAAAAATTCTTTCATAATTAATTTGGATATAGGTTTAATCATCTATTTACAGTGGCGGATCTAGGAATTTCACTCGATGGGGGCAAAAAATTAAAACCAATCATATTCATACTTTTTTTTCATTACGATGAGCTTCAACAAAAAGTTACAAAAGGCAAATAAATATCTTCAAAAAAAATAATTTTTCTACAATTGTCCTCGACGAATTTTCATATTCTAAAAATGTTGGATAATCATCTTATCGTTAATTGTATCAAATACATCTTTCTCAATATAGGTGACCAAGCAATCATTCATCCATTGATCTCCCATTCGATTGCATAACTGACTTTTCATAAAATTCACTATAGAAAAGGCCCTTTCAACGCTTGCACAATCGCAACTGGTAAAACCAATGCAACGTTTACAAGCTTATACACCAACAGATACGAAAAAAAAAAATTTAAACCGAACTAAATTCTTAGCCAAATCACCAATTCCTTGTAACTCAGCCAATTCATCACAAGAACAATTCAACTCAATAGTGATGAAAATTTGTCATGTGCTCAACTCTCTATCGTGGCCGCCTTCGAATTGCAAACATATCATTGATATTCAAAATGGCAATATCATGCTTTTGGCAAAATGAAGAAACTTCACTCAACAAAGATTCACATCCGGACTTTGACTATGGCCATAGCATTTACAATGTCTTGATCTTTTCCCTGCAATGCTTGTGACAACTCATTAGTAATTGTCAATATATTTTTCATCATATGTAAGCTAAATGCAAAATCAAAGGAATAGATTAAATCTAATAGATTACATGCTTCATCCCTTTGTTCAGGATTTAAACCATTTTCTTCAATAACCTCAAGCACATCACCCAAAAAGGAGAATAAAAGGATTAAGTTGATTAGCAGTCTATTATAAAAATGCCCAGATTTCTCCCCTTAGTTACGTGCAAACCTAACAACTCTTATTCCTTTAATTTTCACTTCTAATAAAACTTTTAAAAACTAATAGATCCCCTTGCATAAAAATAAAAATCACAAACAATAGGTAATAAATATGTTAGGATTAAAAACGGGGTTTTACAAAAACAAAATCCAAACTTACCGCAGGGACCAGACCGTTCCGTTCTCAAAATCTCAAACTTTTATAGGGGCAAAATTTAAATCAATATAAATATAAATTTTAAATTTTAAAAAAATTGAGTGGGGGTCGTGTCCCCTCGTCATTCATTAAATCCGCCCCTGTCTGAGCCTTAGTTTATAATAATAGATAAGTGGTATCATCTAATAAATTAGTGTTTTCAAAAAGTTAACGAGCGCACGATCCCTGTCTTAAGCATGCTAAAAGAATCGTAGATTTCCCGAACACCTTGATTACAAAAAAAAAAAATAATAAATAAATTCATAGATTCCGCCAGTAAGAAACATAAAATTCATATATGAAATAAATTTTGTTATGATCTCTAAATTTTTACTTTCTTTTTGTATTGTGTGGATAAGTTTCTTCTCCTTTGAGTATTAATTTGACATGTTTCATTAACCATCAAACTATTAACTGCAGTTTTCTTTCTTCTGTTTTGATGAATACATTTTTTTTTTTTTTTAATGATGTCAAAATCAGTAACATGAATCTGATTATAGAATTCAACTTAATTATTTTGAAAAATGGTAGTAGATTATGACATGGTCCTAAGGGCGCCGTGGGGGGTAAGTTTTGAGACTGCTAATTTATTTATTTATTTTACAATTATAAGAGTTTTTATGCATCATATAGTGTTTCATTCACATTAAAAGTCTTTGTAATTAAAAAAATTACTCTGAATTACTTTCTATCAGGTGATGATATACAAGTGCTTTTCCATTATAAGTGCAAAATATATTTTTAGGCAATAGTATTTATTCTTCTCGAGACATTCCCACACCCAAAAATATGAAACTAATTCCCGATCAAGACTCAGGTAAATGCCTCAAGTCACAAGTTATTTCTAGTGAGATTCGAACCTCTGATATTGCAAGTAAAGTTCGCCCATTGGAAGTCCAGTTACTAGTTGGACCACAGCTCGTTGCAATAGTATTTTTTTGTGAAAGTACTTTAAAAGTGTTTTATATCCAAACATCTTTCTAATTTAAAAAATAATGAATACAAATATTTTGTGTATTTCAAACATAAAACAGATATCCCAAACATACTTGGAATTAGTTTAAAAACAATAATTTGAACACTTCCATCTACATTTCATTAAAGAGTAAACTCTTTTTGTAGAGGGTTGGGCAGTCGACACAGTTGTTTCAAAAACCTCTCTCTCTTAGTGACATTGATGCCAGTAAGATAGAGCCATTTTTTTAGGTGAAAAATCCAAAAGAATGGCAATGGCAAAAGAACAAGCTTCCTAAATCCCACATCTATCTGATATAAATGCAAGTAAAAGCGTCACATGTACAAGTAAAGAGGTTAGCTCACCACTGAAACATACTTACCTGGACGGGGTCAATGGGCGATCAGGAAGACTCATGGCCTAGGGTGGTGGCCTCCATTGCACTTGGGAGGTGCACCAGCCTAAGGTCTGCCCAAATCGGCAGAGCCTGCGTCATAATTTGTGGTAGCGGAGGCCTGCGTTCGCGCGGCCTCTACCAATTTTAAGTTAAGTTTCTTATGATGTTTATGTTTCAACTTGTTCCAATTGATAATGTTCAGAAAAGATGTTTTATTCAATCATTAATTACTTCAATCTTTTAGTTCAGAGAAATTTATAGGATGTGTTTTGTAAATTAGAGTAATAACTCAATGAGTCTAATGGAGTCAAACAGCTCTGTAGACAGACAACGCTCTCCTCCACAGGAAAAGTCTCCTGCACACCGACCCACAACCCAAACAATTTGAATGGTTGCCTATAAGTCTATAACATGTTGCACCACAAAATTTACACAAAATCAAACGCTCAAAAAATACACAAAAAGAACAAATTATTAGCACAAATAATCAGGACATCTTTTCCTCTATCTCAAAACTTATATAAATGCTCAAACAATACACTGGAGACAACCTTAATATTTGGGTTCTTCTCTTTGAGGAATCTCTCAGTACTAGATATTGTACCACCAGTCCCTATCCCCCGCGATAAGGGCATCGACTTTCCCTATAGAGTCTTTCCATATCTCTAACCAGTGGTTTCATAATGAATCTACAAATATGATCACAAACACGTTCAAATATTTGTTGGAATACCTCAGAATTGTCAGGATATGCATATTGCCAAAGCATATAACCATTAGGTGTACTATTCATTTTCCCCTCGTCGACCATATATATCTCTGCTCCAAAAGTTAATGTACTTACATTGAAATGTATATTTAACATAAGAGACAATTTAAATTTTAAGAGGACTGAAAATAAAACAATTGACAAGTGCATAAGGCTTTATGATTAGCCTAACAAATCAACCTTAAAAACGGAAGATTTTCATTGCATACTTTTCCCGAGGTAATTAAGCCCCTATCCTCTGCATCTTTGATCGTATCATATGCAACCCTTTATGCCAAACATATATATATATATATATATAGGGAGAGAGAGAGTTGTCTTTGGCACAAGAGCGTTCCATCATTTCTAGCTTGGCGGCGATAGGGGCAACGCAACCATCCACAACATGGTTGAGATATTGTACCATTGGCGTATTGCCTATCAATTGAACAAATCCACATTGCAGATGAGATTACGGTAATTGAAGACAAATAGAAAGAAACCACAGAAGACGCAATAGTTTCACTTTCTGATCAGCCAAGCCAGAATGACAATGAAACCATAACTGCTGCAATTTTCTTTCTTCTGTTCTCATGAACACAGTTTTTATTTTATTGGGAGATGATAATATGTCAATAAATGTTCATGTTTTCTGCCCCATTCTAATACAATCAAACAGTGGTGTCGAAAGATAAAGCTCTCATGAACAAACAAGCAAAATAAAACTAGCATGAACCGAAAATTCCATAGTTAATATCTTGAGTACGAGAGGACATTTAAAAAATAAAAATAGCGAAAATAGGCCCCAGAGAGTGAGAGAACCTCGTTAAGAATATCCCACACTGAAGCAACACAAAGCGAGAGTTGAGGCCAAGCCGGTATATATTGAAGAGCGAACCCCCACGCAAACATACTTACCTGGACGGGGTCAATGGGCGATCAAGAAAGCTCATGGCCTAGGTTGGTGGCCTCCATTGCACTTGGGAGGCGCACCCGCTTAAGGTCTACCCAAAGTGGTGGAGCCTACGTCATAATTTGTGATAGTGGGGGCCTGCGTTCGCGCGGCCCCTATCAATTAGAAAGCCTAATTATTATAGATTGTCTCTCTTAATGTTGGTCAGTGGAATGATGTTGATCCTGTTTACGGTGGTTGATTATAATTTACAAAGTTGTCTTCGAGTGGCCATTTCTTCTTTGATTCTAAATATTTTCATTTAAATCTATGAATCGAATAGTGTTATTGTTAACAATCTAAGAAAATCTTTGGTAAAATATTATTACATATTTGATTGAAGATTCTTTAATCCAATACTGCTCAAAGCCCCAAAATAAAAAATTGACACTCAAAATGATTCCGGCCTAAATTAGGATTGATTCAACAGTTTAGTTTAGCCACACCCCTCAAACTGTAGTCCCACATCGAGAAACTACAGTGGTAGATCTGCAGGGGAGGGGTTTAAAATAGAAGTGCAACGCACTGAGAAACATACTTACCTGGACGGGGTCAATGGGCGATCAGGATGACCCATGGCCTAGGGTGGTGGCCTCCATTGCACTTGGGAGGTGCACCACGCTAAGGTCTCCTCAAGTAGGAGAGCCTACGTCATAATTTGTGGTAGCGGGGGCCTGCGTTCGCGCGGCCCCTACCTCAATCCAATTTTAAAATTTGCAATTCCTTTATATTTTAAGTTTTGTTTATACACTACAGATGGATGAAGTGTTGAAACTAGTGCCTTCTTGATTGTAGAACAATCTAGGTCAAAGGTTGATTTTTGATGGATTGTAGCTTGAATGACAAAATTGCAGAGTATTCTGATGTTAGATCACTATAAAAAAATAATATGCTCATTGAATTTTTAACAGTACACTCTGATAGTAGCTAGAATAGTTGTTGTATGAGGTCATCCAATGCTAGACTAGGCACACAATACGAGTATAAGAGCCTATCCCATCCCACAATGGAACCAATTGTTGCTCCTACCTTCTTCCATAATCCAGGCTTAGTTGCTGCTATCTTCTTCCTCTCAGCCCCATCCATCCATAACCCGAGATCCGAAAGAAAAGAGATAAGAAGCCGAATGTGATCTAAATTCATAATGGAGTCCAACCACCATGTAAAATGTAATGGATGGTAACTCCTCAACTCCAATGGACTGCTGCAAAAATGAAAAGTGATTGATTTTTATTTTTCTTTCTAATTTCGAATTGTTTCTGTAGTGGGAAATTATCTATTTGTTCTTGTTAAAAGATTTTAGATTTGATTGTTTAATATGGATTTTATTCATTCTAAAGTGCTAATTTCTAATGAAAGTAGAATATGAGTTCGGATTACTTATATCAGTTTATAAAACTGTCAACAAGCTCACTTTGATTTTATCCAATGTTTTGGTCATTTGATGCCTCACGTTACTGAAACTAACTCTGGCTTGTCAAGCATTTGATAAGAATTTTTAGTCCCACATTGACAAGTTAAACTATTGGAGTCCATGGTGGCAACTTTAAAATATAAGCACAAAACTCTGGAAAACATACTTACCTGGACGGGGTCAATGGGCGATCAAGAAGACTCATGGCCTAGGGTGGTGGCCTCCATTGCACTTGGGAGGTGCACCAGCCTAAGGTCTCCCCAAGAGGGAGAGCCTACGTCATAATTTGTGACAGTGGGGGCCTGCGTTCGCGCGGCTCCTATCCAAGTCTCTTATCTCAAGCTTTGTGATCTGTTCATTTAGTAATTTGCGGCAAAATCTTAGCGCTGTTTATTTAAACTATTTAATTTGGTTTATAAATTCTAATTAACCTGTTGGAGCCAATCCTGATATTTTCATTGTAGCTTTCCTAAAACCCACTTTGTTCAATGAACATTAAGGAACGTACAAGTTGATTCAGACACCTCGGTTACTAAAAAAAAAAGTTAATGAATATTTATTACTCTTATTGTATGAACAGTTGAAATAAATTAATGTTTAAATTCTTTTATTATCTAATCATAATTCAGAAAGATGAAATAATTTATATGTTTATAGAACATATATGCTTAAAAGTTGTATAGGTAGTTGATCAAACTAATAGAAATAAATTAATTTCAATTGGAAGAATTTATAAAATTATACAATCAAGGATACCCATTGGGAAAGGGAACTAATCAATTCACTTGAAGTTTATGTTGTATTCAATTAATTCCCTTTTGAAGTTTTATCAAGAGTTGTTGGGTAATTTTTTGAAAAGAAATTTCAATGTTAATATAAAAAGCTGAATTTTAATTAAAAAAAAACGGGAGTCCAGAAAAATCTGAATAATTTGGAAGTTTAACAAGTGAAAGTTGGGGAGTGTCCCACATAGGAAAAGCATAAAGGGATGGAAATGGAAGGATAAGTATAAAACAAAGAAAAGACGAACAGCACAACTTACATACCTGGACGGGGTCGATGGGTGATCAAGAAGGCCCATGGCCTAGGGAGGTGGCCTCCATTGCACTTAAAGGAGGTGCACCACCCTAACATCTCCCTTTGTGGAGACTGTACGTCATAATTTGTGGTAGCGGGGGCTGCGTACGCGCAACCCCTCCTAATTCAATTCATATTACAATTTTATTTTCGTTCAAAATACCAGGCAAATGTTGTTAAAACAATAACTTATTTGTAAGCAAGTTTTGGCTTAATTTTTGCCGGGTTGACTTAATTTTGGCCGTACTATTAATGAGCAGACTACTTTTTCTAACCCAAATTCGCTTGCTTAATTTTGGACTTTTTTTCACTCAAATAACACTTTTTGTTTTAAATATCACTTTATTATTTAAATTTATATTTCGTTTTCGGTTCTAACATCGTTGCTATCTCACACCAAAACCTCTTAAACTTTACTCCTACCAACCCTGTCAATCGCCGACAATCAAGCAATTATGATTTACGTAACTGCCTCTCTCAAGTCAAATTCTAATCAAATTCAACCCTAATTGGCTTAATTTGTTTAGGTGTGTACCTTTTGGCTTAATTTTGGCCATACAGATACTATTAATTGATGTGAAGAGGGCAAATTTTGATCATTTCGGCCATACCATTAATTGTAATTGTATAGCTAGAATCTAGTTTAATTGGAATTCAACTATAATATACATTGCTTCGATTTCAAATTTCAAATTTGATCTCCTTCCCTACTTCACAAGCAGTAGCCAGCTTAATACCCCATTTGCTAGCCTCACGAGCAAAGCCGTGTCCTTCATTACAAGCTTGTACACATGTTTCTAAAGCTAGTCACATTCTCAATATAATCTCACTAGCATACAATATGCAGGATTATATAGAGATTACATCCATGTTAATGTGTTATGCAGCTGAATATCATCGCGAATTCTTGTTAATATGTGGTTTGTTTCAACACAACACCAACCAACCATGCAATGAGTGAATATCAAAAGCGAGAGCAGTAAACAATTTACTAGAATATCACAAGCCATTCTTTATTCATATTTGATAGCAACAAAAGACTCCACAGTTCTGAGTTCACCTTTTTCCTAAGATTTTACACAAGCTGTGAAGCCTTAAAGGGTTATTTCTAACTATTTATTTATAAAACATGAAGAAGCAAAAACATCCAAACCAAATAAAACCGTAACTTGAAAAGTGTTTTCTCCGCTTCAATCTTCGGACGCCATTAGCGTAGAATACAGATTTGGCACCTTTTGGACTTGGGGAATGCTTCAAGGCTCAAATGTCATACTTTCTGCCTCCTTTTTAATTGATTCAAACAGCACAGACGAGAGGTAACGCTCTCCAAAGCTGGGGAAAACAACCTGTTTAAGATTCAAAAGAAGAGATCAGCCGCACAATTCGTTACTTGACCAGACAAGAAGTAAAATCTTTTCGACATGATTAAAGGGATTTATATACAGTGTGCAACAAGAAATTTCTTTCTTAGAGCACCTATTAGTTATATATACCTAGGATAGCTTAAACAGATGGCTTAATCATAACATGTAAACTGCTATATCTCTGTCAAAAAAGCATCAAACTTACCACAATAAGTTTTCCAGCATTTTCTGGCCTCTTTGCTATCTTAATTGCAGCAGCAGCAGCGGCACCAGATGATATCCCAACCTGCAATAGCATTTTTACAATTATTACAAAAGTTAGGTAATCACAGAAGCATCCAATAAAGGACTTTTGATTCATATACCAAGAAATTTTGTGATAAAATCCGGAAATGATAAAGAAAACCTCAGGGCTTCCTTTTTGAAACAGATTATTAGAGTCAAACTTACCAACAATCCTTCTTTCAGTGCAAGAAGCTTGGCAGTTTCAATTGCTTCATCACTTGATATCTGCAAATGCCAGCAAAGCCATATTGTCATTATGATTTGATTTCTGTTATAAATTATTGACTTCAACATCTTAGGGAGGAATAATGTGGTAATGAGTTCATCAAAATGACAAAAAAAACATCATAACTATCACAACGGCCATGGCCAAATTCAGAAAGATAAGGAATTGTAAATTCTCGAAAAAATGTGGCTGTGTCTCAGACTTGTTACTTATATCCCCTTGCATATGCACAATAAAATGGTGTATCTATGCACCCTCCACAGAGAAAGACTTCAGGCAAAATCACCAAATCTTACATCGCCTAATTAAGGATTTAAAATCCTAGATTTTTGGTTCATCCAAATTGATTGAACCACGAAACAGTCAAGCTGCTTCAAGCTAACAGGCATTCATTGTCACTTGACAAGCCTTCCAGAGACAGAAAAATGTGTCACATGATCCTGTGTCACATGATCCTGTTTAGAGAACAGAACCCAATCGTACTTGAAAGACAAGTGCATTCGCATGAATGATATTCCTCATTGTGTAACAATTCTTTCACTTACGGAAATGACTAAAATGAACAATAGAGATCATATTAACAGACAAATTACTTCACATGTTGAATGGAAGATAAATCCAATCAAATGTTTTGACGCTTACTTGAACAACATCATCAAGCATGTTCACATCCAAAACTCCGGGGATGAAGCCAGCACCAATTCCTTGAATCTTGTGAGGACCTAAGATATTTAAAAGCATTCAGTTCATCTTCTAGCACTATAACAAAAAAGAAGATACTGCTCACTTCCAAAATGTATAAATACAGGTAAATTTGACAGAAGATCTCAAATATCAGAGGAATTGCTAAGTAGGCAAAGCTGACACAGATATGAAGATATACAAACAACCAATCATAACTATGGCAAACTTGTTATGAACAAAGATAAATATCAACACCAACAAAGATATGACCACTCAACCAAATCAAATTTGAAGAATAAATATCAAGAAAGAAGAATACGATAAAAATTTATTTTAAAAAAAAAAAAAGTGGAGAAATTAATAAGGGTCTGAATGATGCGTCCTCCAAACCCTAAGTGTCCTCAATTTCCTTCATCCATGGTAGCCATTTTGCAAATACACATTCATGTATAGAATAACTTATGTAAGTACAACTCAAACAAGTATGAAATACAAGGAAGAAGAATGTGAATAGAGCATGTGACTCACCTGGCTTCCCTCCAGACAATATAGCACTTTCTACTGGTTCTACACCATAGAGCTACACAAAGCAAGGTTGTAAACAGAAAACATGAGAAATAAGAAAATCAGTATACACACTAAACAAATTTCTATTAAAACTTTTTTCCATTCAAATCAAGCACTGAAAGCTTACCTTAACATCAGGGTTCTGCTCTTTAAGATACTTTCCAGCACCTGTGACCGTACCACCAGTCCCGATACCAGAAACAAGGGCATCAACTTTCCCACCTGTCCCTTTCCAGATCTCTGGTCCAGTAGTCTCATAGTGGACCTAAACAGACAGAAGAACCAGATTGAAAACCTCTCCAAATGCATGCAGAAAATTTGATATAAACATTACCTTTGGGTTGGCAGGGTTTTCAAATTGCTGAAGAATAAAGGAATTGGGTGTCTTATCCCTTATCTCTTCTGCCTTCTGAACAGCCCCTTTCATGCCCCTAGCTGGATCAGTGAGAACAAGCTCAGCTCCAAAACCTCGGAGAACCATTCTTCTCTCAAGACTCATTGAAGATGGCATTGTAATAATAAGTTTGTAACCCTTGGCCGCTGCCATGAACGCCAACCCTATGCCAGTATTACCACTGGTAGGCTCAATCAGAACACTCTAAACCACAAAAGAACAAGAAAAAAGTTTGTTAAAAAGAAAGCCTTCTCGTCACTCTATCCATGTTTTAGACTACAGAAGCACTAAAAGAACATAGTATCTGCATCAACAGAAAGATAATATTGAAAAAGATGCGAAGAGGCCTTGGATCTCTAAATTAAAGTAACAACAAAATGCAAAATTATGTTTAAACTTGGTGAACATTTCAACAAAGGAAGCTAACATGTGTCTGAACAACTCAATCACTAACCTCTCCCGGAGAAATGAGACCCTTCTTCTCTGCATCTGCAATCATACTATATCCGATCCTGCAAGCAAGGGAACAAACAAAAATGTCATATTCACTGAAAACAACCCCAACTTGATAATAAACACTTCTCGAACACAATTGGTTGGATGATATTGAGCCATGGGAATTTTATTGGAGACCAAAATTTGATAAGAGCAAACATTTTGGACATGAATGTCAGTTTCATATAGCCCCAGCCCCAGAATAACAGTTCATCATTGAATCTATAATCTTGAATCTCATAGAACCTGTATCATAATCCTTGACTATGATGCTCTTATTCTTGAATCCTCTACATCCAGAACAAAGGAGATTCAATACCTATCTTTTACACTAGAGCAGGGTTCCATCATCTCCAGCTTGGCAGCAATTCGAGCCACACAGCCATCCACAATACGGTTGAGATACACCAATGGTGTGTTACCAATCAACTATACAAGTCAAAAACCAAAGCATGCATAAGGTTGGCAAAACGTAAACATCAGAGATTCAAATTCAATAAACCATAAAAAACTCCGAGAATGTTGATAAAAAAACAGCTTACTTCAGTAACATCTTTGGCAATCACACACTTCTCTTCCGCCATTTTTTGTCAAATCACTGTACAAAGAATATCAATCAATATTAAAAAGTTGACAACTTTCATCGAAACCCATATGGCAGCCAAGAAAAAGAAAAGAACATGAACAGAACAGAAATTAACACCCACCAAATCCAAAACCAACCAGACAATAAACAGAACTGAAGAAAACAAAAAAGGCTAAACCACAACAAACTTAATGCCCAGTTATGTGATAGGAACCTGGCTATCCAAAGTAAGATTTCAAAAACAAAACCTTGAAGATTAAAGCTTTAGAAAGTCTTCTGAGAAAACAGTAAGATTTCAAAAACAAAACCTGGAAGATTAAAGCTTTACAAAGTCTTCTAAGAAAACAAAGGAAGTAGACAGAGAAGATTTAAACTTTAACAACTTACCAAGAAAAGCTTATCTGGGTTTGGTTAGAAAATGACAAGAAAGCCAAATGTCTGATCTTTAAATGCTCACCGAGAAAACACAAGAAATACAAAGAAATTTCCTGGGAATAACCCCTTTTGACATTTTCTCTATACATAAAACAATCCTTGAATCCCAAGCCTGCTAAACAATAATAAATTAATAAATATTTATTATTTTAATTACCTCAAGTTTAGCTGTCTGGATGCAAAGGATGCTGGAAAGTGACAAAAGCAAAAACTGAATAGAGGTTTGGCTTTGTTAATAATTTTCTTCCCCTTTTTTGTTAATTTTGTGGGTGGTCACGTCATGTGGAAATTTTAGCTGTGGTTTATAACAATTTCCTCCTCAAAGTTTCAGGAAAATAAAACACACCCAAAGGTGTCAAATAATAACAAATATATCCAAAAAAAGAAAAAGTTTGTTTTACCATAAAAATTACTATAATACCTTTTGTCTAATTACAAATTCTTTTAAGTTTTTATTTCTTCAACTTAAATTATCAATTATATAAAAATTGAAGAAATAAAAGCTGAAAAGGATTTGAGACTTTGTTTTGGAAAGACTTTTTAGTATTCTTGATCTCATTATACTTTTTTTTTTTTTTGGTAACTAGGGGTATTCGGACCAACTTATCTCAACTAATCTCCCAAAATTTTGAAATAAATGATCTAGTAAATCTCCTCAGTAATCATCCTTATTAGTGTTTGGGAGGACTCGAACTCAAAAACTCATATTGGACTCCTTTCCTCTTTTACCATCAGGCCACCTAGTGGTGATTATCTTATTATACTTGACTCTCCCATTTTATTTTATTCAATTTTTAGTATGTTATTCAATTAAATTTAGGGTTTATAATAAAACAAAGGGTACTATGGTAAAGTAATCAAACCTTTTGGTGTTTTTAATTTTCCTCAAACCTTGAGGAGGACATTTTATAACCCCTTCTCGTTGGCGGTCAATCGATGGCGGCGTGATAGTGCAGTTGGATTCCTTGATCAAATGCAATTTCTCTTTTTAGTGTGACAGATGGCAACACCAAATTGGATATTTAATATCTTAATTTTAGAATTTATTGAAATTTTTGTTAGCGTGACAAATGGCAAACCAGATTGGATTTTTAAATTACTGTAGATACTATGATGTATTTGAATATTTTAGTAAACATTAAAGATCATCGAATTGGAATCTTAATTTTATTATCTATTGGTGCATTATATATTTTTAGATTGTTCATTACTATAATAATCTAACACTCTTTAGGTAGTTATTTTATTTATATACTTGGGTACCCGTCCAAATTCAAAGAGGAACCAGCTTCAACCGGTTTCTTAAATTTGGAATTGAAATCAAAACCCATTGGTTCTAATTCGTAGAAGCCAATAACTAGGTAAATTTAATTATCTCTACTGTTTAAAAAAATAACAAATAAACCCTCTAAAATTACAAATACATCACTAATAGTTTACAAAAATTACAATTTAATATTGGCTCTTATTCGAGTACCCAAATCTCGATTCTAGTTTTGGTTCTAACGCTAGTTCGCTATTTCAGTTTTTAGTTCCTATAGGAGTGGAATCGAAATTAGAATTGGAATCGACCGGTTCCTGATTTTTAGAATCGAAACCTATTTTGTGAAAGCTAATTTCGAGTAGAAATCAAAATCAAAATCTCGAGTATCCGCTGGTTCTGATTCTAAATGGTTGTTTTGCATGCCCCTGTAATGCTTTGTTTATAGATCTCACGTCATGCCAAATTGCTGCTAACATGACTTTACTACGTGGCATTTTGTATTTTTATTTTATAACTTATTATATTAAGTTCTCGAGAAGGCCAGTGATAATTCAAGCACTGTATTGGCTGAATATGTCACAAGAGTATATATTTTCAATAAAACTATGTTTACTCACAATTTTACTAACCATCTTACTATCCTGATAAATATAACGGTATAGTATCAGTACTATGCTTATGGTACCCGTACTATACCGTTATATTTTTCAGGATTGTAAGATGGTTAGTAAGATTGTAAGTAAGCATAGTATTACTCATATATTTTATTCAATGGTCCTTTTTAGTAATTTTTGTTATTCCCATTGTATTTATGTGACCATTCAGATTCTCCAAAAGCCATGTTACCTTGTTTTTTTTTTTTTTTAAATTGAATGAGTTAACGACTTTCTCTGACATATATAATGGCCTGATGAGACTTTGTATTCACGTACTTTTAAAATAACATTTATTATCTAAATTCATATGTTACTACAACAATGAGTAAACTCGATCCAAGTTATTAGGGTTTTTAAAGAGAAGAGATCGATGAGTCTTTTAGTGGTGGAATATTAAATTTTAGTGATTGAGATTGATCAGAATTTAATTTGAAAGAGACAATCGCACAAATCCTAATCACTCAATTATTAATGATTGATAGGATCGATAGGAGTAAGGTTTGAGAGGTTTTGGTAAGTGATGATCGAAGAAGAGAATGGTAGTATGAGATCACAACAATACTAAAATAAAAAATAAAATATAAATTTAGATAATAAAATAATATTAAAAAAATTTGTTAATGAGAAAGTGTACTCTATTTTGGGAAAAAGTCCTTTAATTGAATTTAGTGGAACTTTTTAACTGTCAGTAATTGACCATTATCATGTAATTGAACTTCTTATTCCATGCTATGATTTAATAAACAATCTTGTCGTTTTACTTATTTAAAGTTTAAGAATAAATCAAATACTTATTACACAATCTATTTAAAAAGATTTGACAAATTCTATCAGGATTTCAAAAGATTTGAAAAATCAAAATTAAATATATTAAATTGGAATGCATTTAAATAATAGCCACAAAATAGGAAGCATTATTGATACATGTTTGGACAGGTCAAGCAACTTTGAGATAACTTAAAAAAATCTCTTTCTTTATGAATGAGACTGTGAATTTTGTAATTATTATTAAATAATTATGCTTCACATGTACGTACTTATCCATATCATGTTTCAATTTTTCAAATCTAATATATATATATAATAAAATCATATTTAAATATATAAATAAAACTAGGCCTATGTTAAGTCCACTTTTAATAAAATTAAGAGTAAACGACCTTTTCTTACCCTAGCTATGTCTTAATGACACTTTTATCACCTAAAAAGTTTCAAAATATTATTTTTCGCTCAAAGTCTATATTCCGTTATTACCTAAAGCCAATTTCGATGACAGAAATTCTCTTCGTCACCATCATTTGAACATATGATCTCATTTCTACAAAACTTCTCTCACTCTAGCACTTAATTTTTCGTTGATTGTGAATCACTACAAAGCTAAGATTATCTGTTTTTAGTTGATTTATAGTTGATTCTGACGGTAAATATTCAATCGGTTACCATCATTCAATCCATCAGCCTCCACTCTACAAAATCTCTCTTTCTCTAGCTCCTGATAACTCATCGAACATCGATTGAGAAAGTGAAGTGTATTTTGAGTATTAAAATAATATAAATTTTGGGTAAGAAAATGATATTTTGAAATTTTTTTGGTGGGAAAATGTCATTAAGACAAACCTTTGAGAGAAAAAGTCGTTTACTCTAAAATTAATGTTAATCTTAATATCTCTTTGACTTATATAATCCTTTATTTGAATATTAATATATAGTATTTTATACCAAACTTTGTGTTAATGATAATTGATGTCTTGTAAATACAAAGCAATAAGTAGTGGCCTTCAATTTTCCCTTTGATTTATTAGTACTAGAATTAGCTGTAATCATGATTAATTAAGTCTCAATCAAAGATTTGGTGAGATGTTCCACCATTTCTTTTCTATTTTTCCTTAATTCAAATATTTTACTTGTTGACTTGATTACACACAATCTCACATCTAGAAATGGGGCATCCAATTAATTAAGGTATTAATATTTTATATAAATTATTATTATTTTATTGCTTCCTCTCTACTTAATTGATTACAATATTCACCTAATTTAAGCTATTTCAAACTTTTACAAATGTGTGATTTTGATTAATATCTTGTTTTCATCTTTTAATTAACCACTAATAAAAATATTACACATTATTCAAGTGAAAATTACATCACGAGAAATATTAATTTTGGTAAAATTTTTAATTAATCAAACATGACCAAAAAAAAAAAAAAAAATATGAGATATAAAAATGCCCATAATTAAGTTAAATTTTTGTCTTATTAATTATTATTGTACTTTTATTTCATATTTATTAACTAGGTACTGGTTCTTTTTTTTGTAAATTGCTTTCCTGTAAATACCCCTTATGAAAAATAAAGTATGAAAAATTAATATTCATTTATATACCAAAGATATATAATTGAATTTTAGTAGATATTATAACGTGCATTTTTTCTTTATCGATGAGAAATAATAGTTTATTAAAATTACTTTTTAATTTTTTTTCCCAATATTAATTTCCATAATTTGTAATATATTTTTTTTTATGAAAATATTTTATACAATTAATTATGGTATTAATATTTTATACAAATTAATTCATACATTTTTTATTCATAAAGCCTTGAGATAAACCTCCAATCAAATATTCATCACCCAAAGAATTAATATAACATGTTTACAATAATTAAACATAAAAAGAAGTTTTAATTTAAACGTACCATGTTTTCTTCCCATGTCTTAGAAAATCCTACAAAGAATTTGTGAAAAAAAGGAACATTCAATTAAAATGGTAAAAATATTTAAAATTCTATAAATGAAAAAGATATACCGAGTCAACTAAAAAAAAATATAAAAAACACAAATAAAGTAATGTCATAGTCAAAATAATGGATAGACAAAACGTTTTGACACAACAAACATGAATATAATTATATCAACTCCACCAGATTGGTTTGATAGTTAAGAAGATTTACTCCCTTCATTGATTTCTTAGGTTCGAACTTTGGAGTCGCCTGTAACGCCTACTTTGAGGTATATCATTTATATATGCTTATTGGCCCTTAGTGTTGTTCGTTTATCATTGGTTAAGTTTGTATATTGTGAATAATGCTTGGTTGCCCTAAATTTGGTGAAGGATTGGCGAAATTAGAGAATTACAGACTTCGCTAGGGCGAAGAATAAGCCTCGCCGCGGCGATGTACGCTATGTA